TATTTATGTCTACCTCAACATGAATTTGCAATTTATTACACAATTTCTGAAATACTTTCCAGAGAAGGGGTTTAGAGTCTATGGTTGCCTCACAATTATTGTGGCCATAAATTAGTTTAGATAAGTTTAACATTCAAAATATCATACTTAAAACATTTATAGCTTTTAAAACTAAAAAGATTTTAAAAGTAATATTTTAACAATTTTATTTCAGATAACAATCTTAATTTGTATTATTGGTTCCCACGGTATAATTGTTAATTTTTAAACTTAGCTATTCATTCAAAATACATGTATAGTAAAAGTAACTAGCTAACATTTATTTAATTAGAGAACATATATTTATAAGGCATGTCACCCGGGATATAGTCTCATTCATCCTTGAACTACACCTGACAAGTTAGACTTAATACTTTGTATAACTATTTTCTTTTGTCCAGATTAATCAAGTATAACATTCCGAAAACCCTTAAAACTTAAAATAACTTTTTATTATGAATGTTAAACAAAATATAAAAATATAAAAGGAATTTAAACTAAGCCCATAAAATCTAATATGCCTGATAATACTGGTCTTAAGTTATACAATGCTATTAATACTTATTATGACTACTTATTATTTAGTGTAGGAAAGTCTAGAAAGATCTATAGATCTATAAAACTTAATAAAACTTAAAATTTCATACTTTACAACCTATAGACAGTAAAAGTAGTGTGCGTTTGTCTTACAATTAAAAATTTTAAATTAAATATTAATGAAATGTTTAATTTAAATGATTTCATACATGAATCAGCATTCCCATATATCATTCTAAATATACCAGTATTATTGCTTCACAAATAACCATATGGTCTTTAAAATGCTTTAAAAATTATTGTACAATTTTTAATATAAAATCATCAAGGTATACAATTCATTGTAGAATAACTTTATACAAACTGTATTATACTTTTTAGAAGTTTTAGTTTGTCATTTATAAGGAAAGTTATTTTAAAAAATACAAATTCATGCATGCAATTGAACCAATATAAGTTAATATACTTAATTCTAAACAAAACACTTTAAAATTTAACTTATTCTACCAATATTTAATGCTAAGTCTGATTCTGGTACTAAATTTTAATAATCCAATATTCTGAACAGAATTTATGCAGTAACTGTAGGTATGGGTTAGATATGAGATGGCAGTCAAACTTTTATTCATTTAAATAACAGATTAAAAGCTAATAAATTAAAAGTTCGTTGGATTTGGCGAAGAGTTTCGGTTGAGAGCGCCGGTTGTGTGACAAAACTTAAATGTTTTCAATGATTAACTTTCCCACTATTCATACGTTAAAACGAAATGAAAGATAAAAAAAATTCATAAAAAAGTAAGATTGAAAACAACTTATTTATGTTATCTCTTGTGGACTGACATAACTCTAACATAAACTTCAAGTATTAACTCATATTTCATAAGACTATCAAAGATAAGAATATAATGCGATAAGAATAAGCAAAATGTATTAATGAATATTAATTACTTAATACTGTACAGTAATGTTCATAAGAAATATACCGGTATTTAATAAGTACCGTATATGACAGATAATTATCAAAAAATAATACAATTCTTTAAATAAAACATTTTACATCAATTAATTTATTGCAATAAAAATACAAAACAAACAAAAATGGCGATAAATTAAATTTAAAATATAATTTATAGTAAAATGACCACAAAATAAGTAACAAAAAATGATGGTATGATTAGATGTGAAGCTCGTGAAACACTGGATTAACGCGACCTTTGGGTGGTTTCAAGTAATTGCGACAAATGGGACACATTGTCCTCACCTTCAGTGAGTTATTCAGACATTGTTTGCAGAATACGTGTCCGCATATCGTCGACACAAACTTCTCCTCCCTGGCCATCAGCGACGACCTCTTCTCCAGACAAATGGCACAAAACAACTCATTGTCCTCCAGTTCATCGCACTTTCGTTTCAAACCATTGCATTCAGTACTCAATTCCATGACTTTATTCTCCAAAGAGTTCTTTGATATCAATTGGATCTGACTTTTAGTGCTTTCGCACAAAAGAGCTATGATTTTATCATTCCTCTCGTTTAGGCATATGTTTGGATTCCGATTGCGAATGCCATTCAAGAAGTTCCAGAAGATTTGCGACAATACCGACTCAAATCTTATGATTAAATAGTTTTCCCTGAGATCTGCCAAAGAAGTCAATCGTTTGTTAAGATTTTGATTGAAAAGTCTTAAAATAGGATTCAATTTACCGGTTGAGTGGACATTAAACGCTCGCTTATCCTCATTGTTGCCAATCTTCAGGAAATGCTCAACTGCTTGACAGAAGCCATCGCTGATGCGAATGATGACAGATATGACAGGAATCTGGAAATTATAAGTGATTTCTTCGACAAAGTCATAGGAAATCATGAAATGCTGTTTAAGTGCCGAATTGGATCCGTTCGCGCCTTTACTTATGTCCACAAATTTGATGAAATCTAATGTGAACACCAACTCATTGACCGACACTTCAAACGTACCGAACATTATATCCATGGGTTGGCAACAGAACTCAACCATTGTTTCAGAAGTCGTGGGGTTATCGCAAAGAGTGGCCACATTTTGTGTCTCTTTAGACTCGATGTCCAGACAATCATCACTTTCTTGTGGCACCACTTTATCGGTGTCTGACTTGTCCTCCTCTTCAGGCACGACATGAGTCATAACTAAAGTGTCTTTAATTCTATTCATAATCTGTTTCAATGAGTCCTTCACGTCATCGCAACTGATTTCATGGCAATTGATGTGCGAGTAATCCGACGACAAGAGTTGGATATAAGTCACCACTTCTTGTGTCAACTGTTCCGACAAAACGGCGATTATGTAGTGATCGCTAATGTCTTAAATAAATGGAAAACAATGAGACAATGAATGCGTGACACGAATCAGATGAAGACATTGAGACAATACCTGCGGAGTTGACGTTGAATTTGAATGAATTGATGGACTCGTTGTGTCGGAACAGCTGTTTGGTGATCTCGTCGTACGCCTGAGTGTCTGCTTTGAGACAAATGCCGGAAATGGAGAAATGTCTGCAAAACTTGAGTTCAACGATGTCTTCAAAGGCCATCAAAACGGTGTAATCGACGCGATGTTCACTCACGGCTGAGATGTGGATGTGTTTGTGAGTGATCTTCAGGTGATTGGCGCGGCTCTGGAATGAGCCAAACATCACGTAATCGCAGTTCACGTCTATCGACAACATTGTCTTCGTGGACACACCAGTTGTGGATCAGCTATGGATGAGTTGCGGTCACTATTACAGTGATGACTGACTGCTAGTCATTGAAAAATAGCATAAAATGTAAACAAAACACTCAATAATGCATTCATTCTGTGATTACAATGAATGCATTCAATGCCACTATAAGTGCCGCCCATAGAGGCGTCGCTTATAGTAATCGCAAAGTTTTAAACTTTAATTTCATTTATTATTCATTTGTTTTGTTTATTGAATTTATTTAATACAATCAAATTAATCAAAACTAAACCAAAGCTCTCATTATTTATGAACCAATGGATTGAATGCTAAGCGTATATCAAATGGAAATCATTTACACAAAAGTCATATTCAATTCGTGTCCAAAATATATACAAAATGTTTGATCACATTATCTCCTAATTGTGTCCACCCTTACGTCTACTTGCGTTTCATGCCCTTCGAGTTACCGGAACTACTACTGAGCTGTTCCAACCTCTTGTTGGCCCTCTCGATGAAGTCGTCGATGTCATCGAAGATCAATGGCTTCGGTTTCTCCGCCTTCTTATTGCAGTCCTTAATGAAGGCCTCGATGTCTGTAATCATCTCAACCTTCTTCTCGACCACTGCCTTCTTCTCAAACACCTTCTCGAAGATCTTATGCGTGGGTTTGACACTCGGAACCACTCGTCTTGGCTTCACGTCTCGCTTGGCATCAGAGGTATAGTTGTTATCCAGACTATGAGTACTACTAATCCGATCACTGGATTCGTGTCCACTGAACGAGCCCTTAGTGTCGGCCAACTCGTCGAAGCCGTCTCTGCGGTCATCTCTGTGGCGCTCTCTGTCTCTGTCGTAACCCCTGTCGGGATGTCCTGAGCCATCGTCCGGGCGATAAAACTCTGGTTTGTATTCTGGGTTCCGATCCCTATCTCTGTCCAAATGGTATGTCGATGTCTGCGGCGGAGGACTACGCGGTCTCTTCCTCTTCGCCATCGGGAGGGACCACTTGAAGCCGCTGTTGGCGATGGGTTTGAATCCGGCGCCCGTCTCGTCGTAACCGTCATCGCCGGTAAACTCTACCAACTGGTCCTGATTCTTGTCAATTCGGCCCAACACTCCCGACCCCCCGCCGCCCGACCGAACCTTCTTGAGCGTCGGCTCATCTTTCATGCCATTAATGGCGTTAACCTTATCCATCATCCGCTCATCCATGAGACCCAACTCCTGCAACCTCTTCATCTTCTGGGCAAACAAGTCATCGACGTTGTCGTCCACACGGATGTCGTCGCCCACCGAATCCGCCACCACTT